TTTGCCCTGAAAGGATTGACGGTTCAAGCCCCGGCTCTGACTTTCATTGTCGTTGTGTCCTTGGGCAAGACACTTCACCTGCATTGTCTAGTGATGGTGGTCAGAGGGCCCAGTGGCGCCAATGTACGGCAGCCCCGCTTCTGTCAGTGAGCCCCAGGGCAGCTGTGGCTACAATGTAGCTTGCCACCATCAGTGTGTGCATGAATGGGTGAATGACTGAATATAGTGTAAAACGCTTTGGTCAAGTCTCCTAACTTGAAAAAGCTTTATATAAGTACAGGCCATTTACCAGTTAGCATTTTAAATTGTTTGCATTGATTCAAGTCAAACATGAAATTCTTATGGTGATATACTTCAAAATAATTCATTTCTCAGAATTTCTCAAATAATGTTGGATATGACATTAATGACATCAAATACATGTTTCTTTATTCCAAAAAAATGTCAAGCTATAGCTATGAACTGAAGACCTTGTGACTTATGCTATGCGAAAATACAGTTTCCATTGCAGTTTTGCAAAATATACGAATTTTGATTCTACCGAAAAACCAACTCATTGATTTGTAAAGACTGTTCAGTGTCATTTTATTTTCACAAAATTACAGAGTTTCCATTTTGCTAACTTATTTTCATAATTACAATTTGTGAAATTTCATGTTTAATGGAAACACAGCTACTGACTGTGTCCTGAAAAGTCAGGAGCATTCACCATAATTGAGTGGGGCCATAACATTTCTTCATTAAAAATCTTTTTTAATTGGTCTTATCTAATATCAAAATTTTCTATTAAAACTATAACAAAATATAACAACAATTCTTTGAGATTTCCTCACTACATTCTCAGCGTGTCATCTTCCCCCTCTGGTTTCTACACAGCTTGTCATTTTTTTTCTGCTCGGGCTGATTTTTGTCAATAAAGGAAGCTCCAATGACCTTTGCCCTGCTGGCCCCACACCAGCCTCAACCCTTACGTTGTTTTATAAATAACAGTCTAGTCGCTTTGGATTAGAGCGTCTGAGTGACTGCCTGGCACTCTCCACAACCTGCTGCACAATCCACTGGGATCTGACCAGTGGAGGCGCCTGAAACAGCCCTGGCACTGAAACAACATAGAAGAAATATATGAATGTAAAGTATTAAAATGCAGACATAAATAAATAAATGCATTGATATTCAAGAAATCATTCTCATATCTTTCTACCTAATACTTGCAAAGCATTAGTCAATTATGGACTTTTGTAGCCCAGAGCCACACATGCTGGCATATACAATAAAACTGGGCCATACTATAACAATGGCATCATCTAACCCCCTCAAAGTTAATGAACTTCCAGACACCTGCGAGGCAATCCCAACACCAAGTGCTACTCCATCATTAAAGGCATTATGAAGTCAAGAGGGAGACTACATATAGCATTCACTGGAGTGACATGCTGTCAGACAAATCACTGGGTTAAAACACGGACGCCTATGCTTGTAGACAGCCCCTCCCCCTGCTATAGTCCCCACAAAGACACAGACTACCAAGCTCTGATGCTTTGTTGCAAATGGCTTACACACATCCCAGCATAAATGCATCTAAACTCATTGGTGTGTTTCTTAATTTGTGGGTAAAACCCGGACTAAACAGTTCAACGCTGATCAAAGGTGATTTTGTGACATTACCGGTAATTAATTTTCATTCAAAATCCCCATAATGTCTTGATTTTGTTTAACGTGTCAGTTTATTTACCACTGGAAAATAACGCAACAATCCAAGTGGAAAGTGTAACAGGTACACAAGAACAGATTTCTAGGTATTCTCCCTCCAGAGAAGAGCTGATTAAAAGGCTGTGACCTCAGGATACTACAATCTTCCAAGAAGTCAGTAGGCATTAGATATTTATAGAAGGTTAACCGTATTGCCTAGGTGAGAAGGTTCACCAGTGCCGATTTTTCTAGAACCCTCTCACTTGGTTCTGATTTAGGTCTTAATGGAGCTTGAATTTTGTCTTTTCCTTTAATCCATTGCCCTCAATTCCACCCCCACCCTTTAAACTCAGGAGTCAAGCTACAAAGCTGTGCCTCCTAATTTCATTTTATTTCATCAGCAGCAACCAACAACATACCCCTTCTTTTTGTGGCGTAACAAAAAAAAGAAGGCTTCACATCAAACACATTTCCTCCAACACAATATTGCTGAGATTAAAACATAATAGACGACAGAGGTGGTGTTTATCAAATTGTGAACATTGCTGTCAAATAAAACTGCTTAATAATATTGCAAAATTATATGTAGGATTTGGCCCCCAGCTTTTGTGGTGAAGTGGGAGTAAAGGCGAACAGAACTGGATATCTGCTTAACTTTATGCTACGTATAGGATTTATTTTACATTTCTGCAAACGTTAAAATTTAAAAAAAAATTTTTATCAATAAGAAAAAAATATATATTGTCAAAAGGTTTGGTTCCCCCCATAAAAAAATTACAGGGCAAACTTTTGATACGTTCTTTTTGCTGCAAGGTTCACACATGGGCCATCATAACGTATGTTAACACTACCACTATGTCTCTGACCAAAACCGGGTCAGGCCTGTTACTCACATTAGCAATGCCTGCTTTAAATGACTTTCCTAATCCCTGTCATTACCTGGAATAGTCAATGTCTCGCCTGTGGACTGAAATAGCCGAGAACCTCAGACTGCCACTGTCCAATCCCCCTAATTTGCAGTTTCATAAATAGCAGGCAGGGACCTGAGCGCTTTGGGTGCAGAGGCCCTGTAGTGGAAGGCTGCTGATGTGAATGCATAGCAACATGAAGCAAAACCTACCTGGAGACACACCTCAGCTGTGAATTAGGCAAAAAAGGGGTGGATTTATAGGGATAGCTGAAGGAGATTCTCTGCTAAACTGTCAAAAGCAGGAAACACCTTATGTAGAAGGAGGCAATCATTACTTCTCTTGTATCTTTTTTTATGAAAAAACCCACCTTTGTTCGTCCTAGAGGGTAAAAATAACATCAATGTCATCCACTATCTTAACTACATTAAGGACACATTTTTATATATATATATATATATATATATATATATATATATATATATATATATATATATATATATATTTTTTTTTTTTTTTTTTTTTTTTTTTTTTTTTTTTTTAAAGCATATCTTAAATATCTATTCTAAAGGTTTGGTTTAAAGTATCACCATCAGGAGAAGCACCGCTGCTCTCGCTGCCCTCCTCTGGCTGTCCTCAGAAGGCAGTAATGAATAGAAACAAGATGAGACCAGTAGCAGAGGCTGATAACATGGGCAGATGTCCAGGAGGTTAGGCTCTCAGCCAACAAGCCAGGCAGCTCTGCTGAACTGTGGTCAGTGGGGAATATTTACATTGTGGACAGCTGACCTGTGGTCTCCCACAAGGGTCACACTGTTGACTTACTGATCCATGATGGTTTCAAAAAGCTGGATAAAAGAAAGAATGTCAACTGGCAACTTGAATAAAAAGATGCATATTTTCTTCTGACATCTACAAGAGCTGTGAAAGTGTATTTACCCCATAATACAGATTGTGTTGTTTGTTTCAGGTCAACAAACAATGTTATTCATGCGTCGAAGCGTAAAGTGTAGTTTTTACATGATCATTTTATTTATCAACTAATACAATTCACCTAAACCTTAGTAAAAAAAAAAAAAAAAAAAAAAAAAGTAATCCTCCTTGAATCTTAATAAGTTGCCGGTGGCAACAACTGCCATCTAGCATCCTTGATAACGAGTAAAAAAGTCTTTCATATTACTTTGAAGGTTCTTTGTTCCTTTCTTCACTGCAGAGTTGTTTCAATTTATTTATGTTGGATGATTTTTATGGCAATAATTGCAGCATTGCAACATCTCAATCAGATTTAAGTAGACTTTGACTAGGCCACTATGAAATCTTCTTAACTCCATTCATGGAGAAGTGAACAATGCTTTGGATTGTTGTCCTAAAGCATAACATAGGTGTGTGTGAGCTTATCGTCACAAACCGATGATCAGATATACTCTTTCAAGATTTTTTGTAACAGAGCAGAATCCACTAATGTGTTATGCTGGTCCTAAATCAGCTGACCAATTCAGACCCTCACACTACAACCATGTTTGACTATCCACATGATATACTGAGTTTAGTTTTAAACTATAAGTAGCAGAAATCATGCCCTCCAAAAAGTTGTCAGTCCATTCATTTTTTAAATTTTTTTTTACCTAAAAGTCACACATAAAAAAAAATGCTTTTCTGTGATATATTAAATTCTAGTGTTACTTTTGGTTTATACCAGGGATGCTCTAATAAAAGCAAATTTTGGCCCAATCTTTATATTTTACTTGGTGTTGGATGGTACTATAGATGCTGTCTTGTATTCTTTCATAAAGTCATGTGTGAGCCCTTGCAGCCCTTGTTTTCTTCATGGTAATTGCTCACACTGCAGATTGCTGACCTCTCAGAGCCTCATTAGATTGTATTTTAACCTTTCTCAGACAGATAGATGTTAAGAAAAAAAATATGAATTTCTTGCATGCTGTTTTTAGAAATCTTGTAGCCTACTTCAAGTTGTCAGGCAGGTTCTACTAGGCTTACTTTCTGATTCAGTTTACCGGTAAGTAACAAAATGTATTCATATCAAAAGAAAACTGTGAGGCATGAATACTTTTTGTACTGCACCACAGTACAAAGATGATTTTTGCTTTTAACCCTGAGGACATTTCTGCTTTCTGTTGGATGGAGGAAAGCCTCTGCCTGTTACATTCCGTCTTGGCGATATATTAGAATGACAGAAGGTAGTAATGAACTAAGACAAGATAAGACATGGCACTATTCATGCGTAACTGACTCAGAATCCCACACTAACATGTGTACAAGGCACTTAAATGTTGGGGGGGGGGGGGGGGGGGGGGCACTAATAGATCAGCGAATAAGGAATCAATAAACTATTAACACTGATTAACACGCGTAACCCCGCCACGCTGGCTCGCCACCTCTTACCTTCCAGCCAGCTGAGCTGTTGCTGTCGCCTTTATCCTTGAAATAGGGAACATAACGGACCATCCAGTCGTAGATCTGTGACAGAGTGAGTCTCTTCTCCGGGGTGCTCTCAATGGCGCGGGTAATGAGATCCGCGTAGGACTGGTTCCCCCACGCGTTCCGACGAGACGACTTGGCTTTGCGCAGAGACCCGGTCACGTCGAGCGCCGCGCCGGCCAGGCACGGGTGAGTCGCGCCAGTCGGTGCCGGGGCGCCGGTCGGGTGCTGCAGCTCCGCCGGATTGCCTCCAACGAGCCCGGCTCTGCACGCCGGGACGTCCTCCGGCTCCACCTTGATGCCGGCCAGCGGGAGACCCCCGCTCACCTCTGGTCCGCCGGGGAAATCCTCGGGGCATTGCAGGGGCCAGGTGCACGAGCGAGGCCGGCTCTGCGGCTCGAAATCCGGATCAACCTGATGAGCGTCCAATTCGTCGTCCTCCATCATCAACATTTATCCCTTTAATGGGAAATATATTCAAATAAAAAACAAAAGGATGGGACAAAACTGTCTTTAGCGACACTTCACGTTGGAATCTGCTTGTAATACAGCTATTAAGCTCAGTCAGATTCAATCAGAGGGATTTCACTGGAGTAGCACCATCATCATCAATCCCAAAAAAAAAAAAAATCACAACCTTGTTTGTAGAGATAAGAGGAGTAATAAAAATAACAGCAATTTCTTGTCCATTTTAACTACAGCGCAATAATGTTGAAAACAATCTGTCTTATTCAATCCTTTTCATCCTATTACACTAAGTCTCCAGCCTTCCTCAGCCAGTCATGGGGGCTTTTCATTCCAGTTGCAGCAACAGATGATATTTCAGATAAGGGAGCAAAGGCAGCCGTCGATAAATCCTCTAGAAGACAACGTGAAAATCAGGAAAGAAGAAGATGAGGAGGGGTTAAAAAAAAAAAAAAAACAGGGTTGTGTAGAGAGCATCCAGTGAGGCGATAATGCGTGATTACCGTGAATTATTAAATCTTCCAGTCTGCACGGATTACGCTGGCAGCGACATATTCAAGTCCATTCAGCCTGAACAGCACCCCAACTGTCTGCAATTATAATGAAGAGGCGTGCGCATGTGACGAATCGATCATTTCCTTGGATGCGAGAAGAAAAAAAAATATATATATAAAAGAAAAAAAAAATAACCCGGCAATCAAATCTCACATCCAGTTGTCAGGGATGAGAAAATTGGCTTTTCTCACTCCTCCTTCTTGCTCCTTCCTCTCACTTTCTCTCAGATGCCACACATGTTCTCATTTGCTTACAACTCGCTTCAGTCGATGTGAGCCGAGGATGACGCGCCGGCGCTGTACTCTATAGTAGAGATGCTGCCAATTGGAGTGCGCTCACGGAATCAATACTCTTCGAACATGATTACAGCGAAATCCCCGACTCTCTCTCTCTCTCCCTCTCTTTCTCTATTCCTCTCTAACCTTCTTTCTCTCTGTGCGTCTGTCTCATAACCACCATTTCTGTTGCGAAATCTTTAAGCTCAACTCCACATTCTTTGTGCGCCAGTTTATCTGCGACGGGATTCAAATACAAAAATAATAAAAATAAAAAATAAAAAGCATGAAGTAGCCTATTGCTTCACTCTAATCTTTTTTTTTTTTGGTTTCCTTTATGAAATATTGGAAACAGAACACGCGCGCGTGACGAATTGCCCAGTGCGCGCGGTGAGATGTCCAAATGCCCTCCAGGGAGAACTTGGCGGTTTCACCTCCGCTGATTATTTGCGAGCAATACCTCAGTGAGCGTAATTTTCTCTGCCGATTAGACAGATTTAGTTCAGATTAACGGGGATTAGGTAACCCTAGATTCTTAATCCCGGGAGGAGTGGGTTGAAGTGGGGTTTTTCAGAGGTCATAGTGAAAAGGAGAGAGAAGGAAGAGAAAATATTCCAGACTCACACTAAGTGTAAAAAAAAAAATGTAAACATCACATAGGCTTTGCAGACTGTATGTCGGACTTGCGTGCGTATTTTTGCGGTTTGGCACTATTTCATGACTGAGAGGAGAAGGTGGGGAGGGGGAGCGGAGGAGTGGTCACAACCAGTGGGCTCTTTTCAACCAGCATCCTGGATGGAGGCACAGGTGCTTTTATCTGATTGGTTCCCGGTTTCAGCGCCCCTTTAAGCAGCCTGGGTGGAGAAATGCTACAAACAGCCTCACCTTTTCAGTCATTGACAGAAATATTGATGCACTTTCAGATTTCCTCTGTGAAAGTATTGCCTTTTACTAATTACTATATCAGCTTTAGATATCCTATTCTATGAAGCTATTTAACATGAAGTTCTGGATAATATAAACCTTGGAAAACATCTGGCTTAAAATAGATTTTTGCTGTAATTTGTTATACAAAATATTTTAGAAAATCATACCACTTTTTTCATGAATTCATTAAATCTGGGGATATCAAGCAATAAGAATAAATGGTTTATTTAAGAAAACCTTCAGTTTTGTTTATTATAATTTACAAAGTTGGAACATATTACAAGAATATTTTACCGTTGCTCTTTGAAAACTTGTCTAGATCATTCAGAGTCCTGGTCCTCTTGTCCTCAGCTCACCCCACAGGTTTTCTCTCAGATTAAAATCAGAGGGATGAGATGGCATTAGAGGGAGTTTAATTCCGTGGCGAATCACTTCTGTGTTAATTTAGCAAAACGGTTTTGTATCTATAAGTCTAAATTGATCTAAAATGCCCTCGTTTTTCAAAATTTTAAAATGTGATACACTCTAACAGGCTTCTCAGGGCATGTGGACTAGAAATAGACCAACATCAGTACAGAATAGTGCCTGGGCATCAGGCGCTTTTCCTAACTGTTTTCCACTCGATCCTGCAGAGATTTTTTATCTTATTCAAATTTTCCTACACACAGACGTTCAGTTAACTTCCCAGCACAGTTTTGGGGAATGCGACTAATTAGCATTTCTGATGGTAAAAACAGAAAATGCCTTTTGGTCATATCCCTCTCAAAACAACGGGTTTGATTTTGCAGATAGCATCTAATGGTTGTTATGGAAACCTGAAGATGCTGCTTTTTGCTGTCATCTATTTTCTTTATCTCACTTACCTTCCTCTGTGGTGCCAAATCAAACTTCAGTGATTTTGTTTTGAACTCTTGGAGTTGTTTTCAACTTTTTAAATGTTGTTTAAACTCTCAAAGGGCCGGTTTAGACAGTAATCATTCACGGTAGTCTATTCCAGAACACACATCTGCCCTACTTGAAAGTTCACAATACAAGGATTTTATTGGAGACACTGGTTTCTAAACACTTGGGAGTTTTTTCCTTTCTTAAATGGAATGTTGGGTTAAAATTTTCTGTGTGAGCTTATGAATTTAAATCTTTTCTACACATTTTTACAAATACTGCCTACAAATAGAACCATGTCTGTAGTTAGGTACTATGCAGTTCCTTGAAATAATAAAACTGCCCATGGTTGGTCAAGTCCCTACCAAGGATTCAACAACCTTATTAGAGAAAACCTCTCTCATTCTCCTCTCAAATCAAACTCAAAAAGAAAAAGAAAAAAATACAACCTCTTGTGCATCAAGGTAGCTCGAATGAACACCTCTCTCTTTGATGCCTTCTAGTGTGCATGAAAGAAACCTGTAATTAAAAGTTGCATAACAAGGCCACACTGTGCACTCAGACATGACTGATGTTGAGAAATTTGTCAGAAATAGCAGGCTTTTAAAATGCAGGAGGATGTGTCATGTGATGTCTCATAGTATGACTTATTGTTGAGCAGCAGTGGGATCACATGATTAAAATGCCATCTTGCTAATAGTTTATTATTTTTAAAAATGTGAGGAAAATTGCTCATTAAAGACATGATTGCTTTGAATGATTTATTATATTTCCATTCTTACGTGCCAAGAATAACAAGGAGACCTGTGGTGAACACAGACAAGGCTTTTTTTTCTTTTTCTTTTTTACAGCTTCTACACTTTAACACAAGGTTTTGTTTGAGATGCTTCTCAAGTAGCACTTATGAAAGCCATAATTTTGGTGACACTTGAGATTACACAATGTGCCTTGATTACACAGGAAGTGAAAGAAAACCAAATGACTATCAAGAAGGCAAACAACCATATTCAGAGGCTCACAGCAGGACTGGATCTTGAGGGAGACAAAGACCTCAGGAAGCAGAGCCCAGACAGAAAAAGGGAGGTGGGTTAAAGTGCCTTAGAAAAGTGTGCACTCTTGTGAACTTTTCTCACATTTTGTCACGTTACAACAACATCATTCAATGTATTTATTGGGATTGTCTGATTACCCAATAGTAAATAGTGTATACTGTTGAACTGAAAGGAAAAAATGTCAAAAGGTTTTAAAATCATTTTATAAATAAAAGCTAAGTGTGGAATCCATACGTTTAGAGCTTATTTTCTCCTATACATCGAAACAAAAACAAGTGCAACCAATTGCTTTTCACCAAATTCACAAATCAAGTCATCCTGTCTGTAATCTAATCCCAGGATAAATTAAACCTGCTCTGTGAAAAGTAAAATTCTAGAAATTTTATAACATGTCATAACTACGGATATGTTATAAAATCACATCCGTATTTATGAGAACTCATATAGAAAGATGCAGGTTTTCACCCAGTAAGCAAAGAGTATAAGGTAAAACCCCACTGATGCCAACCTAAAGCGACAGACTGAGCAGGTAGGCAATTTAATCAGTGATCCATACATGAATTAGGAAGTTCTCTTAACAGACAGCTATTCCTTGTTACCTCCTCAAATCTGGATTTTACAAAACAGTAAAAAATAAAGCTGTTGTTAAAGGAAAGTTATATGAAATCATCAATTATCTACAAATCATATAAGGGGGAGCAGACATGTGAAAAATGGTGCTCTGATCACCTGAGACAGAAGCTGTACTCTTTGGACCACATTTAAAGGGAAACGTGATGCTAACACTGCACATGAATAACAAACAAGGTGGTGGTAGAATCATGCTGTGACGATACTGTCTTTAACTGGGATATGAACATATTTCTGCCACTGCCATGTGCCTGAAATGGCAGTTAATTTCTTTTTGCCATCTTTACCACACAGAGCCTGTTTTAAGTATACCGGTACATATAAATCATTGGTCCGCTGATAAAGAATAAAGAAAACCATTTTGGAGGCTACACAACACATGAGTGTGGCAGTGGGACCATGATGCTAAACAAACAGCTGAGAAACGGAAGCTTATCAATGGACACATTTATTAAAATGGCCAATTGAAAGTTCACATCTAAATCAAACAGAATTTATGTTAGAGAATTTATGTAGAAAGGTTTTAATAATAACATATATTTCAGATTATTTCCTGCCACTTCCCATTAATGTTATACTTTGTTTTGTTCAGTGACATAAAATTAAATTTCAATTCAGTTTATCAACATAGCTGCAATAAATAGAGACAATAAAGTCTGACTGGATTTTTTAAAAATCTCATATAATTTCTGGTTGAGACCTGAACAATTTATGCAGGATACAGACCATTTTGTAATGCTCTTTAGATAGGCAGCAGTTTCTTTTACAAAGTAAGCATGTTTCGTCCCCTCTGGGTCTTTCCTCATACCAGACATTCCAGAGGTAGCAAGACTGCCCTAAAGATCTGAGTAGCTGACCCTGGAACAGCGTGTTCTGCTTGGTAGTAATAACCTCCGAGAGCCCCTGGAGAGGCAGAGCATCACATGAACAACATGTCAGAGCTTTATGCATGTCAGTCCCTGCACCCCATTTTACCTAGCGGGGTCTGGACAAGATGTATGTGCAGCATCCAAAGAACCCCCCCCTGGGAGATGGATGTCTGTCTTGGAAAGCTCCTCATCTTGTCTCCTGTCCTCTTAGGAAACAGCCCTGCATTCTCACTAACAAGCATACAGATTCCCTGATATTAAAAAGAGGGTGTTTCAAGTTAGCACTAAAAACAACACAAGGTAGGCTGAGCTAAAGATGTCCTGATTGGAGAAATTGCCATCTCTCTGCAACATTTTGGCATCTTCATCTCAGCACTGATTATCATGTTTGTAAAGAAAATTGGTGCCAGAAAAGGGTCTGTATTACAAAATGGAAAGGGTTTTTTAGGGATGAGCAGGTAATGATTTCAATCCCAAATCAACGGCATATTGTTAGAAATGTTTATGTATATATATATATATATATATATATATATAGTGTATGTATTTAGAGCAGACATGTACAAGGATTTAAAAAACAGATAAATCAGATTGAAAAATTGGCCAATCTGTAAGATGTTTCACTTAAGGAAGCAAAGCTAAATATATTTATAGACTGTGTTTAAGAGCTGGAATATTTTTAACTAAGTCAATGAATAAAACAGGCAGCAAATCAACCAGAATTTCTTCACAACTGTTCGTGTAGATGAATCTTGTTTTTATATCTATTTATCATGATGTTGCGATTGGATGTTCTCTTAGTTATTTTTATTTAAATATCTCTAAGTTTGGGCAGAAAATGTA